CAGATCAGAAGAGTTGCTCCAGTAACAGCAGTTGTTATAATAGCCATTACCGACCAATTCCCACCTTGCGACGTACAGACGTTGATGACAGTGGTCAGCAGTCCGGCAACAGCATGCAGGCATAGGGGACTAGTTCAGCGTTAAATTGGGATCTGGCTTCTCAAACCTCTCAAGTGGGATTTGCTCACTTACACAAACACTTTGTTAATCAGCCAGGGGTAGTTTCCCCTGAGCTTTGGGACGTGCATCAGCCACATGAGAGCTGCAGTGCCACTAACAAAAAGGAAGCACGCAATAGCGAGTAACGGGGGGTTCTGGATCATATGTAGAGCGGTACGGCCGGCCTTGTTGGTTTGCAACGTCTTTTCAACCTGGCTCGAGGTCTGCAGTGATGTGAACGTGCCGGGAACGACTAGATAGCCAGCAAGCAGCGCCCAGTTAGCCACACCAACCGTGATGCTGAAACGCATATCCATTTGTGCTTCTTCTCTGAGCATTCTGGCATACGTAGTTTCGTTGGCGTGGTGGATCTGGTTGACTCTACACAGCCCCGTAGTTCCACTCGAAGCTGAGCGCGATGGAAGAAGCGCGGGCTTCAATCCAAGAAGGGGAATCTTTTTCGATCCTATCTTAGCTGGCATCCCTGTATGGCTGCCCGCAGCAGACGCCATGACCGAGAAAGTTAAGGGCTAATATGAAGAGAACAAGTCCGACCAGGGACTTTGTGAGCACTTTGTATGGTCGGTAGTGAAAGCTTGCTACAGCTAGATCGCCAGCTTCTACTGTGAAAATAGTCGCATTTTTCGCTTGCGGTGAGCCTTGCGTAATCTGATTTCAAAGTCAAAAACGAATGGCTTCGGGCAGAGCACGAAAATTGCTGCGTTCCTGATTTAAGCGGCCATCATCTGCAAATTCACTGTCAGCAGGAATTTGGAGCTTGACATGTTTTCTGTTCAGATCGGATTCTGAGGCGGGACAAGAAAAATGCCAACTTTAATCTGAGTGTGGAACCATCCTATAAAGTCCCCGGTAGACTCTTTCTTCTTAGATCTCCCAAGGTTTCAAATGGCTGCCTGGCTTGACCTCGTCAATGAGCATGAAGCATGGAATCTAGTTGATACCAACCGCCTGGAACAACTAGTGCAGGAATTGCCTTATCCGAAATGTCAATATCCGTCCCTATTGTACTTTACTGGAAATTCAAACCGCATGAAGGCCTTACGGGCTCTGTTTCCCTACAATAATATCACGCGAAAAGGCCCCGCAGGCTTAATCCGTCTCCATCTCAGCACCAAGACTGCCCATACACAGAATCCTATATTATTTGCTGAAAGCAGTCTTTGCCTCGAGCAAAGCCTGGGCGATTCAAAATGGCTCAAGCATTCAATGACAAAACATCGAACCTTCTCAGTGGCCAGTGCAGAAGGGACGTTGTCCTCCGCAAAGCTACAGCAAGAAGTCAAGAGACAGTTTGTTTTGCCATGGAGCCAAATCCTGTGTTTGTTCCTCGATTCCACCTCAGACATCCAAGCCGCAAGAAACTTGCTCCAGCAACCACGTCGACAGCTGACCATTGGCGGTGAAGTGATACCATCTCCCATGCGGATAGCCATTGTTGTGACCAACGGCCAACAAGCAACCAAAACCTTCGTCCAGGAATGCGCACAGCTCCAAAGCCTAACCAAGTCTGGAACAGTCACTGTTCTCGATCTGAGTCCACGTAGCGGACTGTCCGACAGTGTCGCTTTTGAGCCACTGCACACCTTGATCCTTGACCAGCTCAATATAGTTCAATCAGAGCAAGTGTCAAATTATCGACATTTCTCAGCATCCCATCTCTGTGCTTTCTGGAGCACTCGTTTACAAAACCACGAATGGATCCTGGATGCACCACCATGTGATCTTTTAGCAAGAGCCCGGAAGGACTTTACGACAAATGAAACAGTGCACGATTGCCTGCGAGAAATCACGCGGAATGCAACATCCGCCGGCTACTCAAAGGAGGATTTTGAAGATCTTGTAGCGTCGGCTTTCTTGATGGAGGCTTATCCCCCGGGAATGCATGGTAATACCATTTTCTCTAACCTGATTCCCATGCTAATGTTCACAGGATTTTCGCCTACCGTGATATTCGAGACGCTTTATGAGAAGCTCTGCCACAGCATCTGGGACGGTGACTTCAAACACTATGTTGGTGGCGTATCATCCTGCTTCGGCCAATATTTTGCAGAGTTGAGCCCTATTCGGACATCAGCATCCATTCGAAAAGAGACATTGCATCGCATGTATCGCAGATGTGGTGGACTTCGCTCTACCACTACTTGTTTTGTCTGTCTGTGTCGCCCACCAGAGCATATGCTCCCTTGCAAACATACACTGTGCGACACGTGTGTTGTGATCTTTGGGAACTCAAGTTCGCTTGGAGAGTACCATTTCGACATTACACAATGCCCCATCTGCGATGAAAGGTTCAACATCACTATTCGCCAGCTACCTCCGACCAAGCACCCGGTGATTCTCAGTTTAGATGGCGGAGGGGTGCGCGGCATAATTCAATTAGGGCTGTTACGGGCTTTAGAGAAGCGCATTGGCATTCCGATTGCGTCTCTGCCGGATCTGTGCACTGGAACTAGTGTAGGTATGTACAACTACTGGCCATGTTTCTTATGGTTGTTGATAGACTAACAAGCCTCGTCTTCAGGCGCATTGTCGACGATTGACCTTGTTCTCAATCAATCTTCAGTCACGCAGTGTTTCAATGCGTTCCCGGACCTGGCGCGAAACATTTTTCGTCGTTCATCAAAAATCCCAATTCCTCGTTGTATCCGGTGGCTTGCCTCGGCGTTCAACTTGACCACAGATGGTCTTTATGACTCCGATGGGCTGGCACAAATCTTCAAAGCAGCTGTTGGCCCATCTCGTCGCATGTTCGATGTTGCCACGGCTCGCCGTGCGGGTTGCCGGATCGCCATTGTGGCAAGTCGCACCTCCGATGGTAAAGCCTGCGTATTGGCCAATTACCGAGGAATAGGACCGCGCACCGCGAATACCGCGTATCAATTTTTGGCGCCACATGACGACCAGGAGAATCCTTTTGTATGGGAAGCGTAAGTCGACCCTCGGCATCTACCCAACTTGAACAGTGGTAGACGATTTTCTAACACTTTGTTTTGGGCAGAGCAATATGCAGTGTTGCAGCACCCTTGTGAGTTCAAACACTGAGACATTGTAATGCGCTGACACTCTCTAGTTACTTCCAGACAAAGAATTTGCCAGGCCTTGGTGTCTTGCAAGATGGTGGGGTCCGTGCGAACAATCCGCTCGCCATTGCATTGCGAGAGTCGGGCATTATCTGGCCCATGGCGAAACGACACGACCTTCTCCTCTC